TTGAGTCCGGCTGTTTACTAACGTTGCAAAGTTCGGTCGCCTGTATATAGGCGTCCGCCTCCATTGGTGCTTCTTGGAGGGTAGCAACCCTCTTTCTGACAAGGTCGAACTTAAAGGCTGACCCGTCCTTTAGACCTTTGAAATTGTCTGTATAGGCCACTTCATCAGACAGTCCTTGAATCTGAATTCTCATCAGATTGAACCGCCTGATGTATGACCGTAGCCCTTCTTTCTCTCCCTGCTGTATAGCTCCCAAGTTAAGACTTGTTTTCTTCGCAGGGATGTTCATTGAGAAGTTGGACGCAAACAAGTATGCAAGCGTCTTAAAGTTATTTATACATCCGGCTGGCAGGTTGCCGAACCATTGTTGGGCGACTCCCTTCAATGTGGCCGGGAAGCATCTACACCATGCAGCATCATCCAACCCTTGAAGATACATAAGGTTGGTGTATGCCATAAGGTGATCTTCTAGATTGGTGGTACCATCATAGGTACCTACCAACACATTTTTCACCTTGGCCGGCTGTGCAGCCTCAGTTATTTCCTTGGGAAACGCAGAGGGTTGTTCTCCAAGTCTTAGCAGTCAAAGCTGCCAGTCCAAAGGCTGGACGTTATGTGCTGCCTGTCCCCCGAAGAGGGTCGGCTGCATGTAAGGTTGTTCATACGACATGTATGGCTGTTGAGGTGCATACGGGGCTGCATGGAGCATCTGAGGACTAGAGTGGGCGGACATGCCGCCTGTCTGGTTCTCCCGGTTTGATTGTGAATACCTCATTGAGGTATTCTAAAAAGCTGTCTTGCAAGTTCGACGTTGAAGCCGACTTTGACAGTTGCATGTTCTTCTTCTGCTGGATTAACCTCCGGGCATCAGAATAAGTTTTCTTTGAACCATTCGGCTGTACATGCCGGATGGCCTTCCTCTTCCCTGGCTCAGGGAACCGTAGTTTGGCTAGATTTATCAAGGGCCTTTGTCCCTCCCTTGGTTTAAGGTAAGGAATGGCCTCTCGGTCTTTGACCGGCTTATTCCTCCCAGAATGGGAGGGCTTCTTGGCCGGCTGTTCCCTGGTGGAAACAGTCGTCCATTTATCAATCAGGTCCTTAATATCCCCTTTGAAACTTGCCTTAAGAGTCATGAGCTCGTTTCCGGTGATAGGGGCGGAGCCTTCGGCCACCTGGGGTTGACCAGTCGACTGGCCGACTGGTTCACTAGGGCCCGCCTGTTCGTCATTCCATTCCCTCCTTTCGATGGACGGATGCGCCTAGTTCTTAGGGACCCGTCAGGGGTCGTGTGTGTATCGACTTCATAGTCGTCATCTGTATCCTGGTCTGTATAGACCTGGACGTCGATCGGCTATAGGCTGTTTCTCATTAAGAGGCGGTACAGGTTCTTGTGAAGCCATCTGAGAAGTACTCTCCCCACAGACGGCGTCAAATGTTTTGGGGTTTTTTAGATGTCCTGCGGGAGAGTTACAACACCAAGACTGGCCTCTGGACGCTTGTACCTGCAAAACAACGGAGACTCCCGGGGGTGGGAGTTCCGCCTCCGACGATCAAGTTAGAACGTATTCGGATGTAGAAAAGTGCGGAATGTAGATGAGATCAGGCTCCTCTTAGGAGAGGAGTGATCATCCGGCTATCTGAGATAGCCTCAAAATCCGAGCCTTAGCTCTCAAGAACTGCAATTAAAGCTGGAGTTAATGCTCAGCAATTAATGTACACGTGTATTTAATAATTTTCTGAATGATGTTCCTCTGGGGAACATCTCCCTTTAATAGGGTCTTGAAATACGTGCCCAGTACTAGGTTTCAGAAACCTAGGACGGACTGGGCTTACCTAGGAATTTGGGATGTTAAAGGCCACTTTCCTAGTTGGTAATTTGTCTTCCAGATAGGCGTGTCGCGTACCTAACAAAAATAACCTAACAAGACCACTACTATGTAGACGGGCAAGTAAGGATCGAATCCCAAGAGACTAAGGTTCACCTAATTAAATAGACTCAAATAATCACTAAGCATGTAACAATCAATGGTGAAATATTCTAAGAACTAATATATAAAAACTCAATAAATCTAAAGAATGTGATAAATCAATGAACTAAAACATCCAAGATCAAGTATCACCACAATTACGATCGATGCAATTATCTATCTACCCCTAGCATACAAATCCAATTAACATGGGGAAAAGCAAACCCTAATCAATACCAAGGACCTCTCTCGAATATCAATGGCTTCTCTAACCACAATCAAGCCTATTCTCATGGAATCATGCAAATTAAATTAGAGACATTAAACACTTTACTTTGCTTCCCAATTATCAATTCAACTACTCTCGTGATGAATCTCAAACCCTAAATTGATCTACTCAAATCCGTTAAAACCCAACTCTCGTTGTGATTAAAACTATGGAATAATAACAATACTAATTATCTCTAATCTAGTATTGGCATAATCACAATCAATTTAGCATAAATAATCGCAATTGTCATTAGAGAATTTAAAGAATCAATTCATGCATCAATCACAATTGGTTTACCCTAGATCTTGGAATATAAAAAACTACTCACACATATTGAAATAAGCAATAGCAAAAATAATCAAAGAAAACATAATTAAGAAATAAGGGATGAAAGGAAAATACCAAATCTTGAAATAAATGGAGATTGCAAAAGTAGAACTTGAATCTTGAATTACAAAAGCAACGTAAAAGTTTTAGAGAAAACTAGGTCTAATAAGGAATGCTAGATCCTGAAATATAATAAATTTTGGGGTATTTATACTCCCAACAAAATGATAAGAAAACGTAAGAAAATTCAGCGCATAACCCTCCTAAGAGGCATGGACGTGCCTACAAGAGGTACGGACGTGCCTCACTTCGAGTAAGGTTCTTCTCATCTTCTGGACTCCAGGCACGGACGTGCCTATATTGGGCACGGACGTGCCTCATATGCAGATTCGAAGGCAGCAGCAGAGACACGGACGTGCCTCTACTGGGCACGGACATGCCTCATATCCAGAGAATTTCCCTCAGTTTCTGAGGCTCAGGCACGGACGTGCCTAAGCTGGGCATGGGCGTGCCTCTCTTAAACATGGTCGTGCTTGACTCCAAAAAGCCCTAAGTGACTCGTTCTTTGACCAACGAGCTTCGTGAAGGTCCGTGGGCCTCGTTTTAGTCTCATGACTTCATAAAATCTCTAAATTAGCTTCGTTAATCCTGAAATACATCAAAAACAACGAAACTACCCATAAAAGCATCGAATCATCGAAACTAAACCAAATCAAACCAAAATGAACTAAAATACTAAGCTAGACTAATAAGAACAACTAAAAAGAGGCTAACAATTATGCACAAAACACGGCTTATCAAACTCCCCCAAGCTAAACTAATGCTTGTCCTCAAGCATTCGACCATGAATCACAAAGGAAGAGCAAGACAACTTCTCAAATCATCATAATGTGCCATCATTTGAAATCAATAGAAAAGCAAAAATTAGAATCAATGTGCATAAAACCACCATAAACCTCTCATACTTGGAATCGACAAACATCTTACCACACATCTCCCCAAACCAACTCACACAAACATGAATAGCTCTCACTTTAGTTGTGAAAAATAAAAGCAATAAACGCTCATGTATTTACGGGGTGAAATATGAGATCACTCAACCTAGGCATAAAATGCATGTCAACTTCACATGAATTTTCCTCTTTAGACTTGCAATGTGACTTTCTCCACTTTCAAAGATTGATGCAGTTGCGAAAATCATGAAATCCAAAAAGGGTAAGCTCGGTTAATCAAAGGTTGGATGACGTTATTTGGGAACGTGGTGCTCAAAAGTATTACAAATCCTAATCCCACTACACCTTCAAATATCGGGTTCAGACCAACCTTATTTCCTCCAACTTCATACAATATAAGCATAGCCCCTTTTTTTTCAATCACACATTTTTTTTTCTTTCTCTCTTTTATAAACTTGCAAAAAGAAGGGATTTATAGCATTTTATGATTTAGGAAGACTTTTAGAACTCCTCTTTGTTTTGAGGTATGGATATATGGAATTTTAAAACTTTTTTTTTTTCTCTTCCTTTTCTTTTTTTTTTTCACAAGTCACTCATAGGGCTTAAACAAGTGTAATGCTCCTTCAAAAAAAACCTACAAAAACGAATTTATGGCTTTAAATGTAGGGTATCAAGAAAAGGGAAAACACGACTCAAAGTGGCTCAACCTACGGGTGAATGCAAAAATAAAAATAAAATTTATGCGGACCTAGAATGTTGAGGCTCTATTCTCTACAAGGGAAATTCAATCACTTTTCCGCAACATGCATCATTCAAGTCTCAAATAGTCAAAGAGCAAAGCCAAGAATTCAATTACATGAAGGACAACTAATCACACATGAAAAAGTACGACTGAGTTAGAATGAAATCAGTCAAATATGGCTCAAAAATCTCACCAGGTACACAAACTATTCACATAAGTAGAGCGGGGAGACCATCCTAGCCACAAACCTACTCAATTCCAAGCAAATTAGTAAATGGGTTTTCGAAAAAAAACTTTTCACAAAGCACACATGTATGATCATTATCATAGAAGCATAAGCGTGTAATAGCATATCAAAGACACTAATAAGAAAGAAAAACTAACCAAACACTAAAAAAAACTAATATATACATGGTGAAAAATGAACCCTCCCCCAAGCTAAACCATACATTGTCCTCAATGTATGCATAAATCAGTGTAAAATGGACAAGGGGAGAGGGAAACAGGTCTATTGATCGGGAGGGGGAAAATCATACCTTGGGGCGGAGATGACCTTTTTGTTTGTTTGTTTTCTAGACACTAACAAAACAAGAAAATAAAAATGTAAAAGAAAAAAAAAATAAAAAATAATAATAATAAAATAAATAAAGTAAAAAAATAAATAAAATAAAATAAAAAGGAATGGGTTGCCTCCCATTTAGCGCTTGCTTAAGGTCTTAAGCTTGACCTTCTTTATTAGCTCAGCCTGGGTCACCACACAAAGAAGAAACTCCGCGATGTTGCCCATAAAAATGTCCGCCTCCAAATGACTCCTTCATTTTATATTTGACATGCTTTGTATCCGAACTTACTTTCATGTAGCTAAACACATCATTTGGTGGAATATTGTCCTCGTTTCTCACAAGATTTCTATCACATACACACTTATCAACCAAAGGGTTAGTAGCATCAATTCTTAAACAAGTACCACCATCAAATATAAAATTATGTTCATTAAAGATCTTAAACACTACTTGTTTATCCTGGGCCCTAATGGTCACTTGTCTTTTAGGAACATCTATTAGAGCTTGACTTGTGGCAAGGAATGGGCGACCAAATATAATCGGGATCTTATGGTTTTCTTTCATATCCATAACAACAAGATCAACAGGAAAAACAAGTTCACCAACCTTAACTAATACATCCTCAACCACACCTTTAGGGAGTCTAGCAGTCCTATCAGCCATTTGAAGAGAAATAGGGGAAGGTTTAAGTTTTTGCAAACCTAATTTTTTCATATAATGAATAAGGCATTAAATTTACACTAGCACCTAAATCACACAAGACCTTGTCAAAAAATATTTCGTTTATCATACAGGGAATAGTAAAACTACCGGGATCATGCAGCTTAGGTGGTAGGCTATCACGTAAAAGAGTAGAGCATTTCTCATTTACTACTTCCTTATCATCATGTTGATCTTTAATTTCCTTCACAAATTTTTGCAAATTGAGGCATTTGAATTAAAAGATCAGAAAAAGGAATGGAAGCATGTACCTTTTTAAGAGTCTCGCAATATTTCCCAAAATGTTTAAGAGTCTCGCAATATTTCCCAAAATGTTTATCGAGCACAGCTTTTGACAACCTTTGCGGGAAGGGCATCGGTTCCTCATAGGCCGGTAGAGCAACATATTTGGGACTTTTTACATCCTCACAATTTTCATCTTTTCTTGACTCCACACTGCACACTTTCTCATCTATTTTCCTCGAAAATAATTCATCTCTTCTCAAGAAAACTGCATTGCAATGTTCCTTTTGGACTTTTGCTTGATCATGAAGAGTTGATAAATGACTCACTTGTTGTGAAAGTTGAGAAAGGTGAGTTTCTATCCTCTTATTTTGAGCAATAAGCATTTGAATCGAGCTTTCAAAGTGTTCATTTTGCTTTGCTTGTAGCTCAAATTGCTTTGTCATAAGCTCTTGCTGTCGAAGTTGGGAAGTAGTGAAAGTCTCCATAATGGAATCAAGATTGTAATTTGAAGTTTGTGGTGGTAGTTGTTGATTCATGGGTTGGTGATTAAAAGATGCCCTTGCTTGAAAACTAGGTGGTGGTGACGGAGAATTCAATTGAGCTTGAGTGTTCATATAAGAGAAATCCGGATGATTCTCCACCCTTCATTGTATGTATTTGAATGAGGATCATACGACCTTGTAGGATTAGAGGTGTAGAATGCATTGGCCTCCTCAATTGACATCTCACTGGAATTTTTGGGGCAATTAGGTGCAATGTGACCTTGCACATTACACATCTAACAGGTCTCCGGTGAGCTAGTAGATGTTCCGGCTTGGAGTCTGTCAAACTTGCTTGTCAATGCCTGCACAGAGCTAGTCAAAGAGTTAGAGCATCAACATCTAATTTACCTCCCTTCTTCACATTATGTCGACCTCCTGGATGATAATTATCATTGGCTGCCATCTTCTCAATTAGCTCTTTGGCTTCAGTTGGGTTCTTAGTCATGAGAGAACCCCCGGATGTAGCATCAATGTATATGCGGAACTCATGGGTCAGACCATTGTAGAATGTTTGGATCAACATCCACTCTGGGATACCGTGATGAGGGCATTGTCTCTCTAAGCGCTTGAATCTTCTCCATGCCTCATATAAAGACTCATCATCAGATTGACGAAAGGTAGCTAGCTCGTTCCTTAACCTTGCAGTCTTCTCTTGCCCTAAAAATCTTACTAAGAAAGCTTTGGCAAGCTTATCCCATGTATCAAAGGAACCTATACCTTCGTCTCGTAACCATTCCTTCGCTCTATCCCATAGTGAAAAAGGGAACAAACAAAGTCTGATAGCATCATCAGTAATACCGTTGAGCTTTATGGTGTCACACTTCTCCAAGAAACTGTCATGTGACTAATAGGGCATTCATGAGGTGTGCCTGCAAATGAGTCATTGGAGATGAACTGTATGAATTAAGGTTTTAATTCAAAGCTCTGAGCGGTAATAGGTGGTCTGACAATGCTGGATAGGGGCTCGGTTGAGGTATCGGGAATGCCGTACTCCAATAAAGATTTTGTGCCGTCTTCCATGTTTCTATTGTTTCGATTTCTCCCTCTTCTTCTACCTCTTTGTCTCCTTATAGTTGCTTCGATTTCAGAATCAAAAGGTGCTAAATTGTCTGACCCTGAACGTCGTGTTTGAATGCAACAAAGAACTAAAGGAAGAGTATCAAAAACACAAGAGACAATAGCCGAAGCAACGAATAAAGCTTAGTAAAAACGAATCACAAATAATCAGAAAGAAACCGTTAGTCCCCAGCAACGGCGCTAAAATTTGATAGGCGTGTCGCGTACCTAACAAAAATAACCTAACAAGACCACTACTATGTAGACGGGCAAGTAAGGATCGAATCCCAAGAGACTAAGGTTCACCTAATTAAATAGACTCAAATAATCACTAAGCAAGTAACAATCAAGGGTGAAATATTCTAAGAACTAATATATAAAGAACTCAATAAATCTAAAGAATGTGATAAATCAATGAACTAAAACATCCAAGATCAAGTATCACCACAATTACGATCGATGCAATTATCTATCTACCCCTAGCATACAAATCCAATTAACATGGGGAAAAGCAAACCCTAATCAATACCAAGAACCTCTCTCGAATATCAATGGCTTCTCTAACCACAATCAAGCCTATTCTCATGGAATCATGCAAATTAAATTAGAGCCATTAAACACTTTACTTTGCTTCCCAATTATCAATTCAACTACTCTCGTGATGAATCTCAAACCCTAAATTGATCTACTCAAATCCGTTAAAACCCAACTCTCGTTGTGATTAAAACTATGGAATAATAACAATACTAATTATCTCTAATCTAGTATTGGCATAATCACAATCAATTTAGCATAAATAATCTCAATTGTCATTAGAGAATTTAAAGAATCAATTCATGCATCAATCACAATTGGTTTACCCTAGATCTTGGAATATAAAAAACTACTCACACATATTGAAATAAGCAATAGCAAAAATAATCAAAGAAAACATAATTAAGAAATAAGGGATGAAAGGAAAATACCAAATCTTGAAATAAATGGAGATTGCAAAAGTAGAACTTGAATCTTGAATTACAAAAGCAACGTAAAAGTTTTAGAGAAAACTAGGTCTAATAAGGAATGCTAGATCCTGAAATAAAATAAATTTTGGGGTATTTATACTCCCAACAAAATGATAAGAAAACGTAAGAAAATTCAGCGCATAACCCTCCTAAGAGGCATGGACGTGCCTACAAGAGGTACGGACGTGCCTCACTTCGAGTAAGGTTCTTCTCATCTTCTGGACTCCAGGCACGGACGTGCCTATATTGGGCACGGACGTGCCTCATATGCAGATTCGAAGGCAGCAGCAGAGACACGGACGTGCCTCTACTGGGCACGGACGTGCCTCATATCCAGAGAATTTCCCTCAGTTCGAGGCTCAGGCACGGACGTGCCTAAGCTGGGCATGGGCGTGCCTCTCTTAAACATGGTCGTGCTTGACTCCAAAAAGCCCTAAGTGACTCGTTCTTTGACCAACGAGCTTCGTGAAGGTCCGTGGGCCTCGTTTTAGTCTCATGACTTCATAAAATCTCTAAATTAGCTTCGTTAATCCTGAAATACATCAAAAACAACGAAACTACCCATAAAAGCATCGAATCATCGAAACTAAACCAAATCAAACCAAAATGAACTAAAATACTAAGCTAGACTAATAAGAACAACTAAAAAAAGGCTAACAATTATGCACAAATCACGGCTTATCACTGCCACGTGTCGTGGCTTGATTAGTAGGTTGAAGTATTATAGCAATAAAATTTTAGATACTATTATGCAATAAAATTTTAGATACTTAGTGTCGAGCCACGTAAGCGAATTTTGGATAGATTTATTTAAGATAAAAATGTTGTATAGTGTTTTATTATAGATATATTTCTAATATTTCATATATATAAAATTAATTATAAATTTTAATAAATATCTTATAACTCGATCATTACTATCTCCATCATAAAATTCGTTTTAAAAAGTTCTTTAAAATGAGATCCATTTATAATATATTTTAATAAAAAATAGAATATCAGTAGAAATAAGTTTAATTAGAAAAAATAATTTTAGTTTGGTAAAAATACTTTCAGTTCATTAAAAATAATTTAAGTGCATGATTCAAAAAAATAATAATTTAAGTGCAATAAAAAAATATCAAGTTAATAATAACATAGGTATCTATTTACAAATAAAATTACAAAAAAGTACAATATTATATAAATAACCAATATGATATCGTATGTCTAAATATTTTACACTATCAAAAGGGGTTATAAAGCTACACTTTTAGCCATGTCACGAGATATCGACACTTGGCATTTCAAGTTTATGTCAAGTGTCACGCTACGTATGCGACAATTAATTATTAGTACCAGTATGATACATAGGATAAATATAATGGATAGATTTAGATAGATTTATAAGATAAAAATGTTAGATTAGAGTTTTATTTTCAATAAAATTTGGATAGATTTTTAAGATAAAATTGTTAGTTTAGAGTTTTTTTTTTCAATAAAATACTAATATTTTATAAATTTCAATTAATCTATTTTTAGCCCATAAGTTTCCTAAATTATGACTATTTGAATAAATGAAAAATTTTCTTCAAAATGGAATGAAAAATAAAAAATAAATAAAAAATAAATAAAAATTGGTGGAATTAGGCCATAAGTTTAGTGATAAGGGTATATTTTGGTATACTCCTTACATACAATTAGTAGGTTGAAGTATTATAGCAATAAAATTTTAGATACTATTATGCAATAGGGATGTTAATGGGGCGGGGCGGGTGGATGTTGATTTTCCCATTCCCATCCCCGCCTAACATTCTTAACCCATCCCCACCCCCATCCCCGCGACGGGTCTAAAATTCATCCCCATCCCCACCCCGGCAGGTACAATCCCAAAACCATCCCCGCCCCACCCCCCACTTAGATATCCACCTAATCCCAAAAGCATATTGAGGTTGATTGCCACTACGTTCGTGATGCCATACAAGAAGGTATTATTAGTCCAGCGCATGTGAAGACTAATGAACAACTGACAGATATTTTTACAAAAGCTTTGGGCAAGCGACAATATTTGTATTTATTGGACAAGTTGGGCATTTGTGATTTGCATGCTCCAACTTGAGGGGAGAGTGCTAAGCCAATTATTTATTGTATTTAGTTTAACTATTGGGCTAAGAATCCTTTCTCTAAATATTGTTGGAAAAACACGCAATTCCCAAAATACAGCCAATCTTTTTTTAATTCCCACCGTGCCGTCCACGTCAGCTAAGGGAAAAAAACCGGTTTTTTTTTTTTATCGGTCCAGCAACAATGGGAATAAACCGCTACTTCAAGTAGCGGTTTCAATTTCATACACCGCTACTTGAAGTAGCGGTTTATCTCGAAACACCGCTACTTTTTCCATTTTATGTAAATAAAAAAAATTATTGAAATAAGCTATCAAATCTACTATTTTTAAGGGACAAATTCAGAAGAGCATACTGAAATCAAGCTATATGATTGATAATACTCCAAATTAAATCAAACTAAAAAAACAAATCTAAGCTATGATTGATAATACTTCAAATTAAATCAAACTAAAAAAAATCAAATCTTATTTTTGTTAGATCTTACATACTGTAATTATAAAAAATCACATTATACATTATTAACCTAGTGGCGGAAAAGCTTGTGATGATGAGGCAGGGGTTCAGCTACGGTGGTGATGGCGGCGATGGTACAACGATGGTGGTGATGGCGGCAGTACGTAGCCCATAGCAGTGATTAAAATTTTAGGGTTGAGAGAGAGAATTGCAAGATAATCAATTTCCCAAACTTAATTTATCTAAGCCCCAAATTAATTCAAAAACCCATTAGCCAACAGGATTTGAGGATGATAAGAAGCAATAAATAATGAAATTGTCAGATAAAGTTTGAGCAAGGATTAGCAATGGAGAATGATGGAACTTTGGTTTGAACGGCAGGAGAGAGAAAGAGATGTTGGGCTTTTTTTTTTTTTTTTTTTTTTTTTTTTTTTAATGTACTGGCATAATTATT